TGAGACCTTCCAAGCCACTGTGTTACAATCTGAATGAAATATAGATGAGATTTCAGAAGGGGTAAATGTCCTTAGTTGATAAAGCATTTACATGGTTTACTGGGCAGCAGTTTTGCAATAATCCAGGTATAAGCAAGGGGCTGCAAATTCCAGAGCAGCAGCTTGTGAACAAAACCACTGCAGACATCTTGCTTAATTGCCCAACAGAAAAGCGTAAATAAGAAACACAGTGGGAAGAGCTGTTGCCTATTGAAGAGGACACAACAAACCCTCAGCCCAAATAAAGACAGGAAGAACTTTCCGAACCAGAGCCAGCAGATTTGGGCAAACAGTGGAACTGTAGCAAGGCCAAAGAAGCAGGGAGTTAGAGCCGAGCAGGAGACGCATGGTAATAGTTGTGTGCCCACTCTCAGTGTTGTGTGAAATCTAAACGGGGCCAATGTAACTCTCAATGTAACGGGGCCTTGGTTAGGCTTCTCTGAGCTGAGTCCTCACCCCCACTTTTAGCTCATTGTCATTTAATGATTTGTTCATACCCACTGTTTCTGGGTAACCCTTTGTAGTCTATAGGAATTGAAATCCTTTCACAAAAGTAGAATTCCTCTAGTGAACCTCCTTGTTTTCTGTTCAGTAACTATCCCTGCTAGAGCATCAGCATCCACACCTTGCTAGGCCTGTGCATTTGCACATAGTAAGCACCATTATTTTGGAACCTACCTATGCCTGTGTGGTTTCTGCGTATAACTAATGTTGGTGACAATGATGGGATCCTAATTCAGGAAAATGATGGAACACAGCATAACTATAGAGACCTAAAAGTGAAACTATAAAAATGCAGATTGCAACACCGGGGCAATGAGTCACCTGCTATTGTAGAAGGAAAGAGGTTTAAAAGGTCTGGCTCTTTGGGGAAATTAGACTTCTTCCATAGTTCAGCAGAGGACTACTGAGGGCCTGGAACAGTCCATAATCGCTTGTGATAGCAGTGCTGAAAAAGAGGTGGTAGTGTTAGCGAGCTAGAATGTATAACCTGCTCCACAGCCTAGCAGCTTCTGTCCTATTCAACCAGCCAAGATTGTGTAAACTCCACAGAAACCCATCCCCAAAGTCGATAGGGATCACTGAGCATTTCATCTTTTACAGATGGAATCCAAGGGGTAATGAAACAGTGGCTGAATATGTGACTGGATTAAGACATTAACAGAACATTGATGGTTTAGAGAGTTTAACTGACATGTAAAGGGTCCAGTTAGGTATTAAGTCTGTAAACAGAAGCAACCTAAAAATGGCTATTGACTGACGCTAATTTGACATTTAAGCATGCCCTAGAGATCACTGTTTCAATAGAAACTACTACTAAAGAGGCCAGAGAGTTGTAAAGGCATCATGAAATCCATGCAAAATATAAACTGGGAGTCCAAGAGAAAGCACAGCATGCAGCGCACTGAAAGACTGTGGTCTCTTTGCAGGAAATTGTCTCGGCATGCAAAAGATTGCTGAGCAAACTAGAAACTGGACATATACCAGAAACATGCAGGTGAGCGCAAATGCACCACCATCATCTTACAAGGACAATACCAAATAATAGTAAGTCATCTGGTCAATGTGGAGTCCAGCAAGAAATCTGTAAATCTCTTCCACTCTTTAACGTAGAAGAGTGCTTCTCAACCTTTCTTGTACCAGGACCCATTTGTAAACATTGACAGCCAGTCCTGACCTAGTACCCCTCACTCCCAACCCACTGCCCCCTGCCCCCAGGTCCCAGCCCCTCAGTTTGATTATTATTGGATTATCCTCTAGTGATTATTATTTGTATTTAAAGAGTACTCAAAATAAAGCTTGATTTTGGACCTGTTGGTTCTGTAAATTTCCTGGCAGGATTATATGAGACCACTTTAAAGAATCAAGTTGCAAAAAAACCCTCATAAAACCTCTAAAAACTTATAAAGAGAAAATCCAGAGGGGAATATACAATTATAAACATGCTAAACCTATATGTGGTAAAGCCAAGAGGTCATGCATTATCTAGTAAAGAATGGCTAAGAGAGATTTAGCTGGACTAAAGAAGTGTGAAGTCTCTTCAAGCCTTCAAAAATACTATGACCTCTAGTCCAAAATAAAATTCAGTTGAACTTTTGGACAAGAGAGCTAATGTTTGCTGGAAACATGGCACATACAGAAGCAAAAGCTTGTGCTCAAAGAGGGAGCAAGTCCTAAACTTTGGGCATGTTGCAAAAGGTATTGGATGAGCTTTGCAAGGACAGAGACTGAACAGCAAAGCAGCTCTTACAAAATGTTGGAATTATATTTAAGGGTAACTGTGGTGAATGAAACACCCACATACTGGTAGTGATAAAAACAAATATGGGTGTCCGCATCCATGATGATTCCAAGGTCACAATTCACCCAGTACTTCATGGAGATCAATATCCTTTGCCAAGAATAGAGGATATATTTGCTTCATTAGTGGGTGCTAAGCATTTCTCTAAGCCTGGCTGCAAATGGAGATTGAAGATTGTGACAAGACACAGCTTGTGATTTACACAAAAAGATCTTATTTCAATATAACAGATTAGTGTTTGGAATAACATCTGTTCCCACCATTTGGCAATGGTCCATGGACCAGATACCACAGGGCATTCCTGGAACTCAGTGTTATTTGAGTGATATACTGTGGTGGGAGCTAGCAAAGAAGAACACCTTGAGAACCTGCAAAAAGTACTTGTGAAAGTCTCTGAGTACAGTTTGAGTGCAAATAAGGGAAAATGTAAATTTTTCAAAGAAGCAGTTGCATATGGAGGCTGTAATATTGACAAAGGATGTGTATGAAGCACAAGAAAAAAGCAGGAGATATCCTTAAGGAAACTAAACTCAAAATGTGTCACAATGACACTCCTACTTGCAGACATTCAATTAGAAATGTATGGCAATAACTAACATAGCCTCTATGCAATATCACTTGAATGAACAGCTACAATGGACAGAAATAGTGTTAACCCACACAGAGCACCCAGGCTTGTGATGCAGCCAAAAATCTAATATTATCTGAAAGGGCCCTGACACACTACAGTGCACCTGTGCCTATAAAGTTAGCTTGTGACACTTCCCCATATGGAATAGGTGCAGTAATTTCACACTTGATGGAAGATCATAGCAAAGGGCCTATTGCCTTTGTTTCTAGATCTCTTACCTTTGTAGAATGGAACTATACATAAATTGATAGAGAAGCTCTGAGTTTAGTCCAGGGTGTGAAGAAGTTTTACCAATATCTGTATGAAGAATGATTTACTCTTGTTACAGATCATTAAACTACACACTTCCTATTTTTTAAACCAGAAAAACAGCACTAGCAATGGCTGCAGTGCAAATACAGCAGTCTTCTTAGGCACTTGGTGTTACAATATTGAGTTCAAAAGGTTCAATCAGCAGGCAAAAGCAAATTGCTTGTCATGCCTGTCATTGAAAGTGGGAGATAAGCATCATGCCGTGGAACAAGAGACAGTCGATATGTTCTATATGGCACAAACTGTGAACCCTTGCCAGAGACAAATGCCATGGCACAACACAAAACTGAAACGATCCAGTGCAGCTATAGTGGCTGACATTACAATGGGTTTATGCACATAAACAACTGTGCCCAGCGTTTTGCATGAAAACAATGGGTAAGCATATATCAAGGTTACCTAGTATAGCACTAGAATGATTATTCTAACAAAGCTGAATTCATATACGTCCCAAGAATTATGCAAAAGCTATCTGGGTATTGTAAAATAAACGTCATGGCCAGGACCCAGCAAATGAAATATGAGAGGGGAAACAACAAAACAGCCTCTCAGTTGTCAACAAGAGTAGCAAATACCTACGGTGCTCTTTTGCAAACTTGGGGACACTCAATTATGCCATGGCGACAAATCTACATAAACTATCCTGGCCCACTGATGAAGCACGTGTTTTTGATTGCAGTAGATGTTCTATTTATATGGCCTGAGGTATACTGAATGAATTTAAGTGATACAAAGCACTAGCAGTGGGTCACGATTCTTGTTTTCCAGGACAGAAGTTCTGTTACAGCAAGGAAGCAACAGACCAGCAGCACATGAATGCACCAAGGCTTATATCTTTGTATGTATCTAGTGATCACTGTTATTTAGAACATTACTGTGGCCGTGTGGTTACTACCTACTGTTAATGTTGCAAAGAAAGCAAGGATGTCACACCCCGGCACTGAGCAAAAGATGGGATGGACGCTTAAACATATAATCATGAGACTGCCTGCCTTGCTTTACTGCTGACTTCTCTACTCAGCTCTCTAGATAAGCATGCATAGAATGCTTCCCAGAGCCCCTCTTCTGTCTACCCATTTCTGCTTTAGCAGCCAACTTCTCGGGCTCTTCCATTTACTCCTAAAGCACGTGAGCTGATGATACCGAGTGAAGTACACAAAAAGCCTCCGGCAGGGAGATGGAACTGAGTCAAAAAAGAGAAGTAACTCGGACAAAGGATGACAGTCATGGAATAGGAAGTGCCATAGCAAACTAGCTGTAGTGACGGGGCGGGGAGGGGGAGGTCCTGTGACAAGGGGAGGAAAAAGTAAAATAAGGCCTTATCTCTTTGGGGCTTTACCAGTTTTAAAGGCTTGTTATAGGAAAGACTTCTCAGCCATGTTCTTATTGTGATAGACGAGTAGCTTTTCCGATATATCTTAAACCTCTCCCTATGTGACATTAACTAAACTGAAACAACTTAATGTATACACAACAATGCCTGTTAGATACGATATCTATTATATTGCACACAATAACTCCGTGTGTCACCACTCTTATTCCAAAAAGCAGTGATTTATTTCAGTTTAGCTTCATCCACTTAAAAAAGTGGATTTGGATTTAAGGTTAAGTGCAAGTAGAAAGAGCAATATCCATTTCTGAACAATTCCATGACTGGATAATCTGATTGGAAAAGAAAAGAAAAGAAAAGAAAAAGGAAGAAATTATTATGGGGAATGGTATAAGAATGGTGGCAGCTCCAGTTTCATCCAAGAAGCATCACCTAAAGGAGCAGCTTATTCCAAAAAGTGTAAATCTACTGCTTCGTTGTTCAGGTATCCAAATCCTACAGCACTGACCTCTCAGCTCATACAGGGGGCTGAGATAAAGGAGAGATTCTGGTGGTAGCATATTTCTGGATAAAAAAGATACAAACACATTCTGAAATTACACTATGAATGTTGAATTCAACTTCACAATCCCAGCACTAAGCAACCTGCCACATTTATGACCAACTGCCCCCCTTCGTTCCCCCTTAGCCTAAAAAGACAAGAAAAAGTGCTGAGCAGTTTCCAGATCAAACCTTTCCGATGACACATAAACAAGGTGCGCCCGCTTAAGGTGACATTGTGCAGAACAGTGTAGCTAGTGGGGAAAATAAGGCCTTAGGAAAGGTAACGCCTTAACTACGGGGCATATAAAGGAGCATTTGGAAAGAATTGTTGTGCTTGCAAACAACATCTGCACACCACCCTGAGCATTCAGTGCTTCTGTCCTCTCCTGACTTCTGGACATGTCTTGTTTGTGAATATGCTCCGGGGTATCAGCATCATGCTAAATTCTGGTGTGTGCATTAAATTCTTGTTCGTAGCCTAAGTGTTACAAAACCCCATTCGTTCATTTATGGACAACATGGGCATTGACAAACACACACCTACATTAAAAGAATGAGATCAAGTGGAACAGCCTCAGAGCTCTGCTCAGCAGGGAACATACCCTCCATTTTTCCAGCATCTAAGTAAACACTTAGCACTTTTTGCCTGGATTACACCACCTTTCAAGACATTTAGCAGGGATAAGCGTTTTTGAAGCCTCAGGTTTGGAAGTCAGGAGACTTAATTCCAGCTCTGGCTGAGAATCATTGGGTGACCTTGAACAAGTCGTTTAGTCACACTGCACCTCAACTTTTCCCCACAATTAATGCAGATAGTAATACTTCCCTACCTCATAGTGGTGTCTAGGAGGCTTAATCTTAATTAATGGTTTTCAGGCACCATCTCAAAGATCATCAGGACAAAAGACAGCATATTATCGTACTTATTAACAAAATAATCCTCAGTGCCCCAATGAATGGGAAACAAATGTTACAGAAGGAGTTGGCATCAAGCAGCATTCAACTTGAATTCTCTTTCATATCACATTGCTTTGAGGATTGGCAACCTAAATTTGCCCCTTCTTGGAGTAGCCTGTTATTTGTACACGTCCGTATGCTGGGAAGAGAGAAAACTTAAGTGTGCATAAAAGGAATTACATGATACGTTTGCCCAGTATAGCAGGGGGCAGGATTCAAAGAGCCAGGAGATCCCTGCCAAGTTCCTGTGGCTTTCTTGAGGTAGCACTCACCAAGTGGAGGAAAGATTATTAAATGTTGCATGACAAAGAGTGATGGGGTAAAACTGAGAAAGGGAAATATAAGTTGGATATCAATACTACCTCCAAACCAGCCTGTTTTTTGGTTCTTTTTCCCAAGGGATATAATGGAATCATTTAGAGCTAGACTGGCCAGAGCCCTGGATGTCAGGCTTCAGGACAACACCTTGCACTGGCAGGAAGTGATGCTAATGATTTAAGTAATTAGGTCTTTTTCTTTCCCTTCTCTGCTTTCTAGGAGTCTCCCTTAGGCAACAGTGTATTGCACTGAAGCATTAATGCACCGAGTCAATGAGGGCATGTGGAGGCTAGAGACATTTGTCATAGCCAGATGTGATCCAGGGTCAGGTCCATACCTTGTCCAGTTTATTCAGTTAAAGCAGCTTGTATGATACATCACAGAAGATGGAGGGGTGGAAAGTTCCTCATGGGGGAGGTATTCCAGTTCCATTTGTGATAGGGCGGGTGCAAAGACCCTTTAACTGCCTGTACAGGGAGGGCAGAGATGGAGATTTCAGACAAGTTTCAATACCCCAAGCAACAGAACAGAAGGCAGACAGTTAGCACACATAAAAAGCTATAATCCCTGTGGATAATAAATACTGAGGCAACATGAGGCCTATGGGATGTGGTACACTAATTCCATTGGGTAACACGCAAGTGGCAAGTTCACAACGACAACATTTCCAAAGATGCAAATGGGAGCTGGTAACTGAAGATTTCTCAGCCTCCATCTCTCCCTGTTACCAAAGGTTCCCACGCTCAAACTCAGCCACCCTTTGCTCTGTGAGCAGTCCTATGAACGTCAATGGGGTTAGCCACAGAGGAAGGATCCTCATCCAACATCTCATTTCCTATTCTCAGTGGGTTCAGCATTGTAGGTTTAGGTACTACACAGCGAGTAAGCCATTAACAGGGAAGATGAAACTGGGAGAAGACTGGGCAAGATTCTTAGGTCACCCCACTGTTCCTGGTAGGATGGTTTGAAGTACCCCAACATTTGAAGGACCACTCCCCAAACATCCCCCCTAACCCTCCCCCCCGCGCCCATTTGTAATTCTAGTGAGGTGGAGATGCTCCCCAGTTCTTTATAAATAAGTTTACCATTATCTCAGGTGACCTGGATCCCCCAAACTCAATAAAAGACCATCGCTTCATTCCCTTCCCTCAGTGGACCCTCCCTTGGTGAGTTGAAATCTACAGCCTCAAACTGTTCATTGTTGGCATTGTCTGATACGTCTCCCCAGAACAACTCCATGACTTCCCACCACCACGGCCCATCCCACCAAGTACCTTCCTCCTCTTCTGGGACAAGCGAGCTTCACATTTCATTAGGAGTTAAACAGTACCACAGATATACAGATACATACCTTGCACTGGAGAGCTGGGCCAAATACTGATCCAGCCCCTTTTACAAGTGCTTGAGTCAAAGTAGCCTTTCTCCTCCCTTTTCTATTGCTCCATGTTGTAAATAGCATTTACCATGCCACCCCTGGACCAGCACAGAAGAAAGATCTCATTGCAGCTCCATCAAGGGGTCACTAGGATATTGGCCATTCACTGCAGTGCAAGCAAGCTAAGGCTTTAACAGCAGAATGCTTCCCCTGTGCTCCTCCTGGCATAGGTGGGAAATGGAATCAGTGAATTAGCCCTTTTCTTGATCTCTGCCAACTACCATAGTCCTTTGAAAAAGTTCCCATCCACCGATGGAGAGCTGACTCTCCTAGACTCTAACCTCCTGCTTATGAACTTCTAGGCCTTGGGTCTAATGGGCCCTAGGGTACTTCCAACCCCTCTTCCAACCTAGCAGTCCCTGTAAATTGGGTGGCTGTGTAAGGAGAAGCTTTTCTAAAGCACAGATTTACTCCACAATCCTGCAGGTTAATTATAAACCAAGAGGGCCCCAGGAAGAAGGAAATGCTGTACCTGAGCATCGCAGTCCAAAAGGAAGCCTATGAAACTGGAGACCATTATTCAGCTGTCCCTTGGCAAGCTGTTTTTCATCCAGAATAACTCTCTGCTGATCAAGAAGGGATCCCATGAGGTTCAAACCTAAGAAGAGAGACTCAGGGCATCTCCCAGGAAGAAGGCACCAATTTCTCCAAAAGGCCTTTAAACACTGCTGGACATAGGGCATTTGAATGCTTCTTTGCTCTGCTTGGATATGCCCAGGCTACCAGCTGTGACCCTCAGATTGAACGTTTGCTGGCTCTGCTTTTGTTTCAGTTCAGCTGTGATGGTGAAATCACCTCTTTGATCGGTTCTGCTATTTCTTCCCCACGCATGTGTAACTAGGGGACTGGAAAATGCTGAGTCAGGTTCTGATTTCTCTACCCCAGGGGTGGAGGCTCAGACTCCATTTCCACTTGTGTTTCCTCTTTGGCTCTTATGTTGGCTTGCTCATTTACTTCACAGGAGTACCAAGACATCACCATTCACCAACTAACCAGGCTCTGCCTCTCTTCCTGTTGCCTACATTTCTACTCAGTCCTAGATGTACACTGATATTAGGCTGTCCTGGTCTTGTATATTTAATTCATGACAGTACCAGGGCTCATTGTGCACTGGTCAATTAAACGCATCTGCATCTCTCTTCCTGTCTGCTGGAGGCACTCCAGATTTCCCTGGCCACTACACCCATTGCCAAAATCAACCCAGCACTCCCTCTGCAAAAGTCCCCGGATGAACAGAAAGCAACTAGCAGAAATTCAAAGCATGCCCTGCAAATGCTGACACTCTTACTGAAAAATCAAACCTCAGATTTCATTATCAGTTAAACAGTGCCACAGATATACTGATGCATAAAAGCTAATATATGAGTGTCTCTTCTTAACACTCTCCACACCATTCCCTCCAGCTACTGCTAGCCCTGTGTGATTTTGTACTATAAATGCCCATTACCACACCACTTCTACTTCCCCCACAAGTTCCAGTCTGTTGGAAACTAGAATTATAATTAAGCCTTTCCAGTATTTCTCTTTCCTGCTACTTTTCACTTTCTTTTCCCCTTCCTTCCCTATGAGCGACTCCACACAATTCAGCTATATCATCAACAGAGCTCTCTCAAAACCCTTAGGGCCACCTCTGGACTTATCCCACAAAGACGTCCTTATTAGGGGTATGTGATTCTATTCAGAGAAGATTTGGCCCAATTCAGAGGCCAAATGACCAAATCCGAATCGAATTGGGAGAAGGAAATAAACTCTGAATTGATTCACAAAAGATTCAGAAATTTGGAGATTCGGAAGGCAGTCTTTCAGGGGAACAGAAACTGAGACGAGGGAGGGGAAGCAGGGGAGAAAAGACTGACATCTCTAGCGGGCCAGTGACTGTGATCTTTCCCTGAGTCCCCTTCCAATCACAGTGCTCTGGGGGATGGATGTAAAAACAGCATATAAGCCTCTTTCTTCAGGCTTTCTGTGCCTTTTGTGAGGTGTTTCTGCCTGAACAACCGTGTCTGAAAGGTCCTGGACTGGCTTGGCTTCTTACCTAGCTTCGAAAGCTTGCTAAGATATATTTCTCTATTTAGTTGCTCTACTAAAAGATACCAAATTGACCCAAAGAACCTTGTCTTCCAGTGCCATATCCTTAGACCAACACCCCTAGCACCTGACTGGAAGGAAGCAGGGCCCTGGGCCCATCAAAGCCCCAGGGCTGGGGCTGGGGCTGGCAGGGAGAGTTCTTTGGCAGCTGCTGGAGGAGAAGCTCCTGCAGAAAAGGAAAGAAGGGCTCTCTCACATTTTGGCTGCATGAGATGCTGCTGGTGCTACTGTGCTGCAGTGCACTGCTTACCTGTTGTTATTTAAAGTGGTGGACTGAGATGAGGCTTTAGGGGAGGAGGAGACCTCACTGGGGCACGCTACCATGTCGTGTCGAGGCCTCAGCTCCAGTGAAGGTGCGCCTGAACACACACACAGTGTCACAAATCACAAGTTTTGCTTGTCAGCAGTCTGAGGTGCAGTTTCCCAGAAACCCCTGAATCTATCTCCTTGAAACTTGGCAGGTGTCACGCCCTTAGAAGGGACTATCACTCCTGCAGTTTTCACCCTGATGTAGCTTAACATATATACGTGACATAAGTTTTGCTTTCAAGACTTTGAGGTACAGTTTCCCAGAAACCCCTGCACCTATCTCCTTGAAACTTAGTAAGCTTCATGCTCTCAGAAGGGGCAACCATTCTTGCTGTTTTCATCCAAATCTGCCTTCAGACACACACATGAAATGATTTTAGCTTTCAGCAGTTTGAGGTGCAGTTTCCCAGAAATCCCTATACCTATGTCCTTTAAACTTGGCAGACTTCATGCTCTCAGAAGGATCTATCATCTCTACAATTTTTAGCTGAAACAACCAAAACCTGACAAAGTTATAGGTATTTCAGTGACTCCCTGTTATAGTCTATGGTCGAATCTCTCCAAATCAGCGCCGAATCTTCCAAAGCTGATTTGGCCAAATTGATTCAGGACAGTGATCCAAATCTCCAAATTGAATCACTGTCCTCCAAAACAGCCGAATCCCAATCCAAATCGAATACTTCTCTATTTGCACAGGCTTAGTCCTTATGTCCCATGCTGGGAAGGAGCTGTCTCCTCTATCACAGTGAGGGAAGGCTTGAACTCTACTGTGCCGTTCTGACTGATTCACCATCTGTTGCAATCCTGACCGTAACATCTTAACATCAAAACAAGAGTAAGGGAGGAAGTGGAGTGATGTAGAGCAAAGTCCATGCAACTTCCTAGAATTGTGGTACAAAACATGCACGCGCAGAGCAGGCAGTGAAAAGAGACACGAGGCAGACACATCGACACAGAAAACACACATCCTCCACACGGCACCCTCCTTCAGACTACCCGCTGCACAGCCCACTGCTGGAAAAGCCCCAACCCCTCAAAAGTTCATAAACTGTGCGTCAGCCCTCAAGCCTAGAGATCATTAGATATCATTTCAGAGCATGCAAGCCCCCTAGTGGCTGTATTAAACCCAGCCCTGAGCCAGACAGAATTAAATGGCACTTTTTGTGAATGATCCTTAGTAGTTTTACATTTTCTTCCAGCCTGGGGTCCCAGGGCACCTTGCAAACATTAAATCTTGTGACATGCTTTCTGAGGTAGGCATTTTTTCCCAGTTGACAGTGGCAAAGAGTGGCTAAGTGATTTACTATACCACCATGTGAGCTAGTGGCAGAATTGGCAAAAGCCCTGATTATGAACCCACTGTTTTAAGCAATGAAGCACCCTCGTTTGAAGAGCCAGGATCACAGCCCAGGAGCTCTGATTCACAGACTCACCCCTTTTGCTCAAGTACAAGTCAAAGTCCGAATTCCATCCGCAGTCCTGACTATGCCCTTTTTCTGGGAATTACTGGAAGGAGTTGCATTTAGATGAGTGCAGTTAATCTCTGCCCCCCTCCTCTCTACTGCATTATGCCTTGCATCCATGGGATGCTGAATGGTTTGATAGGAAAACAGGGTAAAGGTATCTTTAACCCATTCATGTTTCTATTATAGCAAGTGATCCATTATCCCAAGCACAGCAAGGAGCAGGACTCTGCAAACAGCACCCCTAAGAGTGGCAAAAAAAATAAAATAAAATGTGGGTGGAAAACAAAGAAGGGCCGACTGGAGCAAAGTGCAAAGATGCTCCACCTGGTTGCAGTAAGAATAAGGGCCCTTGCAAAAGAAATGCATGCTATCCATACAACTAATAACTATGGTGCTTTGGAGGAGTGAGGAAGGCAGCCTGTTAGATATTTCATGTTCTTCTGAGCTGTATTGCTGCTTTAAGCTTCACTTCACATGGGCAGTGAAACTAGGCTGAACCCAAGCATGTGTTTATTAGGCAAGTGCCTAGAGAGCAGCAAGAGTTGGGATCCTGTTGTGCAAAGCATTGCACAGACACAATGACTCATCTGTTCTAAGGGTCGCTGCTTCCCCAAACTGATGGGTTTCCAGAATCTGGGGAAGAAGGTGAAAAGCCACCAGCAAACTGCTGAGACCATCTTTTGGAAGGACAAGCACACCCAAAGTGCAAGGTCTATCAGATGTACTAGACTGATTCTATGCTAGATCCTCGCCAAAAAAGGAAGAGACCTTTAGGGGATGGAAGATACAATCCAGAAAATAGTTGTGGGTTGAGGGGAGTCCCCTCCCATGTCCCCTCCATCTCATACCATTTCCCTCAGTAAGTGAAATAATGTGACTGGCAGCACTTGTTCCCAGACTGGAGAGGGATCAAGAAATCCAACAATTTTGCTATTTCCCATCCACCACTGGAGATTCAAAAGGACAACAAAGGGTATCTCTCTGAAGAAAGAAGGATGGGGGGACAGGGTAAGTATAGAAGAGCAGCCACAGATTGCCAGGGACCTAGGGTGCCCCTAGACATGATCACTCCTTGCTCCTCACCCCTTCTTTCAGCGTAGGAGATCCACTCAGAATCTCATACCATCCTCTGTCCAGCCATAATACTGTTATAGCTTGGTGTACATCAAACCCAAGCACCGAGCCTTTGCCTGCAGAACCAGCCCTATCATGAGAACTCCTGGGCAAAAAAAACCCAACTTCAGTCAGATGGTCATGCCTGAGTATGCCTAAGAAACCCTGGCAGCTCCATTGCTGCTGACAGTATATACAATTAGGAAAACTCCCGGCAGCAGACCTGGATGCCTCTCTTCTACTGTTGAAGCCTAAGACTCTCTCATTAGCTCAAGAAAAGTCACAGAATGAAGTTACCAAGTGATATGTCCTCCCCAGCACGCACCCCCCACAATATCAGTCCCAAGGGAACAGGAAACACAGAGGAAGGTGCCAGGGAAAAAGGCCTACCACATACTTTGCATGGCCATCAGCCTAGATATTTGACTTTAGTGAACAAAAGTTGGTTACATCTGTGCAAAAGGACAGTGAAGGTGCCAAGGCCAATTCTGATAGACTTGTCTGGGGTATGGTTGGATAAACTCAGTGGGAGTCAATGGCTCAAGATGGGTGTTCCCAGTCCAGTCTGAGCAGACCAACCAACCTGAGAATACTAAAGCCAGGCCTCTCTGATCAGCTGCCAATGTTTCCAAAAGTAGTCACTATTGTGCCTCATTTTTTCATAACCAACCATGCAGACCCAGGACCTGACCTCCAGAAGCACTGAGGACTCAAATTTCTACTGAAGTCCATGGGGGAGCGCCAACA